CGACTGTGTGCAGCAGTGCGTCCAGTATGGGGCAGGGGCTCCACCTGCTCGAAGCAGGCGCCAGAAACGGCCAAGATCTACTTCAGGAGTGGAGGGGGGGGAGGGGAGGCGAGGGGGCGAGAGGGCCCGCGCCGATCGGCACAACAGTGAATACGAACAGGATCACGTGCGGGCCCCTGGAGGCCAGGAGCTGGCAAGCCTGACCGTTGCGTTCTTGCTCGCGGCGCGAGGGGGTCCGAGCCCACAGGTAGCCCCCGCTGGCGCTTCCCTGGGCCTCCCCCTCCTTCTCCCCCTCCTCCTCCCCCTCCTCCTCCTCCTCCTCCTCCTCCACAATTACTCAATCTGAAAATACTCTCCCTCTTCCCCTGATGGCGACCGGGTGATGGCCGCGCACCCTCCGCGTACTGTTTTTTTACACACAGGATGCCCGGGAAATCCCGGGAAACGACTCTCGCTGGGGCGCCGGCGTCATTTTTTCCCAAAATGCTGCTCTCGTTGAGGCGCCGGCCTCATTTCTGCTCCCGAATCGTTCCGAATCGTGCTCCCGCTGCAGCGTGGGCCTCATTTTCGGATCGGTGTTTGGCCTCCGTCGTTCAGGATGGCGTTCTCGCCCCAGCGCGGGCCTTTTTCTCGCGCGCCCATCCGCCCGCCACCACCGCGCCGCACCGCCACCACCACCACCACCACCACCACCACCACCACACCACCACCACACCACCACCACCACCAGCACCAGTACCAACACCACCACACCAGCACCACCACCACCACCACCCCTACCACCACCACACCCACCACCCCACCACACCACCACCACACTCACCACCACACCACCACCCAGACAACCACGCACACACGCACGCACGCACGCACGTGCACCACCACCCACTACGCCCGCGCGCGCGGAGCCACAGGTCCGCTACGACACGCGTCCGCGGATAGAGAAAATCAGCGCCATGGTAAGGGATGGGAGGGAGGGGTAGGACGTCAGATATGACGCCAGCGCACCTGGCTTGTCCTCCTCCCCCTCCCCCTCCTCCTCCTCCTCCTCCTCCTCCTCCTCCTCCCCCTCCTCCTCCTCCTCGTCCTCCTGGGCGCGCTCCGGCCAGGACTGCACCAGGGCGAGCCCCGCCGTGGCGACGAGGGACCCCTTCGGAGGCCCGGAGCGGGCGACGGGAGCGCAGAGGGCCGATCCTCGAGCCTTCGACACTGCGAGCCTCGCGGGTGGGCCTCCCGTCGGTCAGGGCCCCCCTCGTCTGGACGCCCGAAGCGGGTACAGGGCAGGTTTTAACACATAGGATTCCTATATATTGTTATTGATATTTATCATTATTAGTATTACTATAACTATTACTGATAGTAATATTATTATTGTTAGTACTATTACTATTAATTTAATTGATATTATTATTATCAGTATTATCATCATTATTATTATGATGATTATTACGATTATTATGATTATTATTCTTATTATTATCATTATTATTAGTATTATCATCAACATTATTATTATTAGTATTATTAGTATTATTATTATTTTGGTCATTATTATTATTTAATACATGATTAATGTATGAACAAATGCATGAACACATCGTTGTTTGAAATACTAAAACCCTGCATTCTTAATCCATGATCGGCACGCGGAGCATGTATTAAAACCGGCGCTGTATGGGAACAAAAACGGGCTCGATGTCCACAGCGGCCGATGCTGGGCTGGCGGCCTCCCGTCTCGTTTCTGCTGTTTCGTCTGCATCTCTCCCTCTCTATCATACTCGCAGTCGGACCCCAGTCCAATCCATAGCGTTTCGCAGAGAGGCTACGGCCTGCACGTTCGCGCCCACATGGGCACGGAGATGGATCCGAGAGCGAACGCGGACCGAACCGAATCGGCTCCCTCCTTCTCCCTGCCACTCCTGCCCCCCAGAACTGGCCATGCGCACGTGGCAGAGATAGATGCAAGCTTCCGGGAGTGCCGCCGAGGTCAGGCCTCCCCGGCCTCCGGGCGGCCTCCTGGTTCAAATGGGCAACGCCCGCGGCAAGGCCGACAGCGAACCCTGTTCAGAGCGTGCAGGAACTGCGGTCGGTCTTCGTGTGGCCGTTCTTGCGGGGGAGATCTGTATCCACGTCCACCGCGTCCTGGAGCTTCGGGCTCCTGTCCCCAGAAGCCAGAGGCGCAGTGGATGCGGAGAAAAACGTGGCCCCTCGAGGCGAGGTTCTTATCCGCATCCACTGCGCCTCGGCCTTCCGGTGCCCCTTCTCAGAAAGCCCAGGACGCAGAGGATATGGATATCCACCTTGCCCATCCCTTCCGTATCGAGCGCTCGTGTCCTGCTGGCCCTGGCGGTGGCTCCCTTGAATGACCTGCCGTTTCCAAAACGTGAAGTCTTTCAATCGGGGAGACGTAAGACCCGGGTACGGGGGACTCGGGTTGGCCCGACGAGGTCGTCAAAAAAATGACGAGGCCGAGCCTGCATTTTGACGAGGCCTCCCGCTGCAGACATCCCACGAAACTCCTCCTCGTCAAAATCCGAGGCGCGGTCGTCAAAAAACGATGGCGAACCCGAGTCCTGGCAAACCCGGGTCTTACGCTCCCCCGATTCAACATCGACCGATGCTCGGTCGCCGGCGGCGTGCCACGTGGAACGCCGGCGGCGGGGTCGCCGCCCGTCGACACGGCACGCGCGTGCCGCTGCTCCCCCCGGACCTCTCCCAGGATGCGTTCTGACTATGATTTTGAGGCGAGTCCAGCGGTGGCGACGAGGGCCTCCCAGGAGGCCCAGAGAGGCGAAAACGAGGCAAGGGTAGCGGTAGCGATGCCTTTTCCTCCTCTGACTGTCGGCCTTCGCCCCTTTCCCTGCTGGACCCGTTTCGATCACACCGAGTCTCGAGACTTGGAAAAGGGCATGAACAGCAACACAAGGGGGTGTCTCTACCCGTGCTGGTGGTAACATTTCGTCCACCTAGGATGCCCGAACATTACCACCAGCACCGAGATGGGGATCACCTTCCCTCGGTGGAGGCACACCACCGACATTGGTGTTGGTGTCAACATGTAACCCTGAAAGGTCTTTAGAAGCCCACTCCAATAGGGGGTAACTACTTATTTTTGGCGGCCTTATTGAAGGACTGGGGTCCCACCAATAAGGGGTAATAAATCTTTCCCAACCATCCTGTGGTGTTGGGTCCTCGTTTTGACGAGACAGCGCCCCGCGTTCCCCACTCATCCTTCCTCCTCCCCCTCCCTCCTCCTGCCTCCGTAGTTCGCATGCGTCTCCCCCGCCCAGTAGAGCGTTTCGTGGCCCCAGAGGAAGCTCCACCGAAGGTCCCAGGGGGGTGTACCACATGCGGTTCCCCCGCCGAGTACAGCGTTTCGTGGCCCCAGAGGAAACTCCACCGAAAGTCCCAGTGGCGCAGTCCGCATGCGGTTCCCCCGCCGAGTACAGCGTTTCGTGGTCCCATGGGAGCTCCACCGAAGGTCCCAGTGGCGCAGTCCGCATGCGTTTCCCCCACCCAGTGCAGCGTCTCGTGGTCACAGTGGGAGCTCCACCGAATGTCCCAGTGGCGCAGTCCGCATGCGGCTCCCCAACCCCAGTACAGCGTTTCGTGGCCCCAGAGGGAGCTCCACCGAAGGTCCCAGTGGCGCAGTCCTCATGCGGCTCCCCCACCCAGTACAGCGTTTCGTGGCCCCAGAGGGAGCTCCACCGAAGGTCCCAGTGGTGCAGTCCGCATGCGGCTCCCCCACCCAGTACAGCGTTTCGTGGCCCCAGAGGGAGCTCCACCGAAGGTCCCAGTGGCGCAGTCCGCATGCAATTCCCCCACCCAGTACAGCGTTTCGTGGCCCCAGAGGGAGCTCCACCGAAGGTCCCAGTGGTGCAGTCCGCATGCGGCTCCCCCACCCAGTACAGCGTTTCGTGGCCCCAGAGGGAGCTCCACCGAAGGTCCCAGTGGCGCAGTCCGCACGCAATTCCCCTACCCTAGTACAGCGCTTCGTGGCCCCAGAGGGAGCTCCACCGAAGGTCCCAGTGGTGCAGTCCGCATGCGGCTCCCCCACCCAGTACAGCGTTTCGTGGCCCCAGAGGGAGCTCCACCGAAGGTCCCAGTGGCGCAGTCCGCACGCAATTCCCCTACCCTAGTACAGCGCTTCGTGGCCCCAGAGGGAGCTCCACCGAAGGTCCCAGTGGTGCAGTCCGCATGCGGCTCCCCCACCCAGTACAGCGTTTCGTGGCCCCGCAGGGAGCTCCACCGAAGGTCCCAGTGGCGCAGTCCGCGTGCGTGTCCCCCACATAGCACAACGCTTCGTGGCCCCAGAGGAAACTCCATCGAAAGTCCCAGGGGCGCAGTCCGCAGGCGGTTCCCCCACCGAGTAGACCCAGAGGGAGCTCAACCAAAGGTCCCAAGGGCGCAGTCCGCATGCGTTTCCCACACCGGGTATAACGTTTCGTGGCCCCGTAGGGAGCTCCGCCGAAGGTCCCAATGTCGCAGCCCGCATGCGTCTCCCCCGCCCGGTACAGCGCTTCGTGACCCTACAAGGGGGCTCCACCGAAGACGATACCTACAACTGCGGTGCTCACAGATGCAAATGGTTGGGTCCTTCGCCAGGCTATATTTTTTTCCGCGGCACCTGCCGCGCAACAACGACGACGGCAACAACGACAACAAGTAGGAGGAGGAAGAAGGATGAGGAGGATGATGATGATGAGGAGGAGGAACATTTAAGACCAATCCTATTCACCGCTGGTATCTATTGGTGTCGGTGTCAGCCTCTAAAGTCGGGCCGCTGACACAAGGAGCGGCAAATCCGGAACGAAGCCCCCTGTTAGCTCCAAACGCGCCAGCGTGCACGAGGAGGGCCAGAGGAACAACCACAGAACGACCTACGGAACATCGAGCCCCTTTCGTGCCCAAACGGTTCCTTATCATTTCAGCGTCTTGACCGTAGGCCTGCGGCGAACGCCACTCGACCGCCCCCGCAAGCGGCGCGGCCCGCCCGGCTCCTGCAGCAGCGAGGTGAGGCCCGCCGCGGCGGCCGCCGTCTGCTCGAGCCCGCCCGTGATGCTGACGGGCAGCAGCTCCGTGCCCGCGATGGCGACGCGGCTGACGCTGACCTTCGCCACTTGGGCGGCCAGGCACGGGAGCGCCGCGTGCAGTCGGAGCTGGGCCAGAAGAGCACCCTTCAAGAAAACGAGACCCGCCGCCGGCCAAGACGCACAGAACCTCCAAGGGCCCCCTGCCCAGGATGCACAAAAACATCAAACAAACAGAAAGAACATGCGGGTACCCTCCCCGAACCGACCTCGACCTTATACCTCAGTCCGACTGTAGTCGCACGAGCGCCGCCTAGCTTGTGACGTTCACTGCCCCCCGCTAAAACACTCGATCCCATCAACTCCACCGGCGACCCCACGTTGAACCCCACTAGAGCCCACTCAATTCCCACGGGAGCACCCACTGAAATTCTAGTAATCAGTAAGTTGAGAAACTCGTTGGGTCCAGACTTAGCCACCTAACGACGGCGACGCGATGGCGACGCGACGGCGACGCGACGGCGACGCGCCGGCGACGCCACGGCGACGCGACGGCGACGCGACAGCGACGCGAAGGCGACGTGGCGGCGACGCGGCGGCAGCAGCTCCATGCCCGCAGTGGCGGCGTGGCGGCGCTTTTTTTCTTCAGCGCAGCTGCGCATGCTGGAGAGGCGAGGAGAGGGGGGGCGAGGGAGAGGAACGCCTGGAGAAAAGGGAGAGGGGCGCTCGGGAGAAGGGAAGAGGCGCATGGAAGAGCGAGGGAGAGGGAGAGAGGACGCAGGGAGGAGGGAGAGGACACGGCTCAACACGTGCTGGTGCTGATGCTGATGATGCTGATGATGCTGATGATGATGATGTTGATGATGACGACGATGATCACGAAGCTGATGATGCGGATGCTGATGAGAATGACGATGATGATGCTGATGATGGTGACGCTGATGTCGTTGACGACGATAACAACGATCATGGTAATACTGATGACGATGATGATGATCATGCTGATTAGGATGATGAAGATGGTGATGACGATGATGATGATGACAACGATACATGCAATCGTGATGATGCTGATGATGAGTATGATGATGCTGATGACGCTGATGATGACGACAACGATAACGACGATCATGATGATGATGATGATGATGATGACGATGAGGGTGATCATGCTGATGATGATGACGATGATGATGATGATGATGATGATGACGGCGATAACGCCAATCGTGATACTGCTGATGATGTTCATGATGATGCTGATGATGATGATGAGGATGATGATGATGACTATGGTCATGATGATGATGCTGATGAAGATGATGCTGATGCTGATGCTGATGCTGATGCTGATGATGATGATGATGATGATGATGATGATGATGATGATGATGATGATGATGATGATGATGATGATGATGATGATGATGGAAAGGGACGGCCTCGGCCCCCGAGGTCTCCACCAGGGCGGAGACGGTGGCGCCCTGGGGCCCCACGACAAACCCCGCCGAGGGAGCCGGCACCAACGCGACGAAGACGCCCTCAGCGCCCTCGGGGACGTCCTGCGCAGACCCGGCCAGCCCCAGGCACAAGGGGGGACGATAGGGTGCGGGTGAGGAGGAGAGAGGACGACGAGCACCTGAAGAAACAATATCATTATCATTACTCATTGCTAGCATCATCGCCATCATCAACAGCATCATTATCATTGTCATCAACATCGTTATCACCATCAACCTCAGCATCATCAACATCATCATCACCATCGACATCGTTGTTGTCATCATCGCTGTCATCATCGCCATATGGGACGACGAACGCGCCATCCCCTCACGTCCCTGAGCTCCTGTGTATACGCCACCGAGCCCGTGGAGGCGCCCACTGCCCTGGCTCTTACTCTTGTGAGGCTCTGTCCCTCGCAGCGCGAGCCTGTCCGTGCTGGAACGGGCATCAGCGTTAAGCCACCTGTCTTGACAGGTGCTTGCGTCCCGCGGCCGAGGCAGCGGTCACGTACGCTCCTGGTGCGTGCGCCTTGCAGCCTGCCTCCGAAACTTGAGATGCTCTGAGACCCGCTCACACCCAGATATTCAAGAAGTGCGTGATTTACACACTACAGCTACCCCAGATCACAGCCAAGGCGCTGCGGACGAAACTCGCGCTGGAGGGCGAGGGTAGTCGCTGCCCAAGCTGCCCCGAAACGCAACACGCAACCCGTAGAGTGTTGACACGTGTCTCAGCACACGCACACACATATATGCATACATATATATATAGGTCTATACATATATGCATACATATACATATATATATATATATGTATATTCACATCCATCCATCCATCCATCCATCCATCCATCCATCCCCCTCCATCCATCCCTGCCTACCTACCGACCTACCTACCTACAGTCATACATACATACATACACACATACATGCATGCATACATACATACGTACGCGTATGCATGTCTATGTGAATGCACACACACCGATATATGTATATAGATGTGTGTGTGTGTGTGGGTGCCGGGCCTGGTTGCGTTCCATGCTCAAGGCGTCTTGCACACAACGTTTGTTTCCATCCACTTGTCATACCTCGCTTGGCCCAGGCGGGCCGCCCAACGGGGCTCCGCCGACGACCCTTTCTTCCGCGGCGGTGGCCAAGTTGTTGTGGCTTGTCCAATGGTCGCGCGGGATGTCGCACGGCGCATTGCAATATCTGTGCCATCGATGTCGGGCCATTTTTTGTGTTTGATGTGTCCCGCGCGGTTGCCATTCGTGGCTGGACACAAGTCTTTATATGTTTGGTGCTAGGGCCTGCGTTTGTGTCTTGTCTGGCGGGGACGGTGGCAGGCCCTCGTGGCTACGCCAATCATTGTTTTCGCAAGGCAAGACCGTGCGTTGATCCCTACGGTCGTACATGGTGCCCCACCAAGCCACGCCAAATCATTCGGATTCTCCTCTGGACAAGCAGTTGTGTGTTTCTCAAGTTGGCCATGTAGCGGCCCCGACTGGCGACGCAATTGTTTGTCTGGGGCCCCATGCCCCGTGCCACATGGGGTATGCCCCGTGCCCCATGGGGCATGCCCTATGCGCCGCTCCCAATGCACAACGAGGGGGGTGTGGAAGTTCGACCTGTCTTGATCTCCGATTTGGACAAATTCATGCTCAACAAGCTTTCGCCGTCGCACCGTCGGCTTTGCATGGGTGCAGCGCATCGATCTAGCTACACGTGCCCCCCGTGGACGCCGTCGCACTGGTGCGACTGCGGATGTTCTGCCTATCGACCTGCCTCCCGTCCGGGCGCCGTCGCACGCTCGGCGTGCCTTGGCTGGCCGCGTTCACATATGTCTTTAGTGTGCCACGCTGTCGACGTCACGCTGCTGCACATTATTTTTGGAGCCCGCAAGTCACCTGCGTGTGCCTGGTCCAAACGGGAAGCGCGTTGAATTGAAGTGCGTCGCTTCATGCCGGGGCCCAGGATTCATTTGAAACCATGGGCGTCTTCCAAACCAACTTTCGGGTGACCCACCCACCCGTGGGTCACTTGCGCGGTGCCTTTCTCACAGGAAACGTTTTGGACGGGAATGCATCACCTCATGTTGAGGTCCAACATGCAATTGAAATTATCATGGCGAAGGAGCCAACCATATGCAGTTGTGAATACCGCAGTTGTGAATATCTTCTTCGGTGGAACTCCCTATGAAGCCACGAAGCGCTGTACTGTGCGGGGGGGGTGGGGGGGGGGGCGCATGCGGGCGGTAGCTCTGGAGCCGTCGGCGGAGCTCCCTACGGGGCCACGAAACGCTGTGCTGGGTGGGGTGGTGGGGGACGCATGCGGGCGGTAGCACTGGGGCCGTCGGTGGGGCTCCCTATTGGGCCACGAGACGCTGTACTGGTAAGGGGGGCGAATGCGGGCGTTAGCTCTAGAGCCGTCTGTGGAGCTCCCTACGGGGCCTCGAAACGCTGTACTGGGTGGGGGGACGCATGCGGGCGGTAGCGCTGGGGCCGTCGGTGGAGCTCCCTACGGGGCCACGAAGCGTTGTACTCGGTAGGGGGGGCGCATGCGGGCGGTAGAACTGGGGCCGTCGGTGGAGCTCCCTATTGGCCACGAAACGCTGTACTGGGTGGGGGGGCGCATGCGAGCGGTAGCACTGGGGCCGTCGGTGGAGCTCCCTATGGGGCCACGAAGCGCTGTACTGGGTGGAGGGGGGCGCACGCGGGCGATAGCACTGGGGCCTTCGGTGGAGCTCCCTATGGGACCACGAAACGCTGTACGGGTGAAACGCAGGGAGGAAGGAGGAGGGGGAGGAGGGGGAGGAGGGAGGAGGGGGAGGAGGAAGGAGGCGGGAGGAGAACAAGGGGCGCCGTCTCTTCAAAACGAGGACCCAACACCACAGGATGGTTGGGAACAGATGGTTGTTCTCAGCCAGTTTTCGGGTGACCCACCCGCCCGTGGGACGCCTGAACTGCATGCTTCATACGGGGAACGTTCCGAATGGGATTGCATCACTTCATGGGGGCCCAACATGAAAATGAAACACTTCTTTTTTTCCCAACCAATTGTCGGGTGACCTACCCGCCCATGGGTCACCTGCGTTGTGCCTGCCTCATACGGAAAACGAGTTTACGTGTAATGCATCACCTCATGTTGAGGCCTAGAATGCAAGTGCAACATCTAGTTTCCCCCACCAATTGTCGGGTGACTAACCTGCCCGTGAGCCCCCTGCGCGGTGCCTGCTTCATACGGGAAGAGTTTTGAAAGGGAATGTATAACCTCATGTTGAGGCTTTGACTGCGTATGACCATCCTTCGGGTGACTCGCCCGCCCGTGGGTCGCCGGCGTGGTGCCTGCCTGCTTCATACGGGAGACGTGCTAAGCTGGAACTCATCACCGCATGCTGAGGCCCAGAATGCAATTGAAACATTCTATTGTGCTTCCCTGCAAGGTTTCGGGTGACCCACCCGCCCGTGCGTCACCTGTCCGATACCTGCTTCCTACGGAAGGCGGGTTGGGATGGGATTGTGCCACTTCATGTTGTGGCCCAAGACGCACGTGAAACAACCAATTTTTTCCGATACCTTTTCGGGGGACCCACCCGCAAGATGGACTCCTGCGAAGTGCTGCCTCGTACGGGCAGCGCAGTGAGTGGGAATGCATCGCCCCATGTTGAGGCCCCGAATGCAAGTCAAAGGATGGGTTGCTTCCGAACCAGTCTTCGAGTGACCCACCCGCCCGTAGGTCACCTGCGCGGCGCCTGCTTCATACGGGGAACGTGTTAAAATGGAACGCGCATCCTCGAGCTGGAGCCCAGCATGCGATTGAAACGATGAGTTTTTTCTCAACATCAATTTCCGAACGGCCCACCCGCCCGCGAGTCACTTGCGCGGCGCCTCCTTGGCACAGACAACGCATTGAACGTGGATGCATCACCTGATGTCGGGACACAGGACGCAAGTGAAACAATTGGTTCTTGTCAGCCGATTTTCGGGAATCGCACCTGGCAGTGTGTCACCTGCATGGTGCCTTCTTCAAACGGGAAACGTAATCGGCGGGACTGCGCAACCTCATGTTGACGCCCAGGCTGCAAGTGCATTGATTGGCGTTGCTCAGTCAGTTTTCGAATGGCCCGCCCGCCCGTGGGGCACCTGCGTGGTGCCTGCGGGGAAAATATTGGGTGGGAATGAATCGCCTCATGTCGAGGTTTGGGTGCAAATGAAGCACGGTTTTTCCAAAGCCAATTTTCGGGTTGACCCTCCGCCCGTGGTTCACCTGTGGGGTGCCTGGCTTATACGGGAAACGTGCTGAGAAGGAATGCGTGACCTCAGGTCAGGGCCCAGGATACAAATTACACAGCGGCTTGCTTCCGAAACTACTTGATGGGTGACCCACACGCCCGTGGTGCCTGCTTCATACGGGAAACGTATTGAATGGGAATGCGTCACTTCATGTTGAGGCCCAGCATGCGAATGGAGGAAAATCTGTTCCTCCCAGTGTTCGGGTTGACCCACCCGCCGGTGGGTCACCTGCGTGGTGCCTGCTTCATACGGGAAACGTACTGAACTGGAATGCATCACCTCATTTTTCGCCCCATAATGCATATGAAACAACAACTTGTTCTCAAGTATGTTTCGGGTGACCCACCCGGACGTGGGTCAACAACGTGGCTTGTTTCATACGGAAGCTGTATTGTGCGGGAGTGCATCACGTCATGATGAGGGCCAGGAGGGCAAACGCAACAACGAACTTATCTCAAGCAGTTCTCGGGTGATCCACCCACCCGTGGGTCACCTGCGTGGTGCCGGCTTCATACGGGAAGCGAATTGAATGGAAGTGCATCTCCTCATGTTGAGGCCCAGGATGCAAGTGAAGCAACGGGTTTTTCTCAACCAGCCTCGGGGCCTCATTCCAACGCGTTTCATCCACATAGTCCACTCAACCTCCGTCGTCATCGCGCCGCGCGGGTGGGTGGGAAACAAGCTGTCTATTTGTTGCGGCCCCGCCTGTCGCTGTCGCACCGTTGGCCAGCCCGCCATGTGCAGTTCGGTTCTGTTCACCTGTC